TATATTATCAACTGTGCTCCCCACAGAAAATGGCACACTTACGTAGAGTAACAGAGGGAAGATTGATAACGAAAAGACTATTTAGAAAGGTGAGGATAAGAATAAAGGAAACCTGTAAGGAGTGGTGAAGCTGGAACCTGTAAAGAAAGTTGTGGAGGTCGGAGAGGGCCACCCTATGGGAGAGAAATGCAGCCTTTGCTATCCTGAGGCCCGGAGGAGACTCTATCAGGAGATCAATATCCTTATCTTTCAGTCTCTCTCTTTGGCCTCCTATTTCTTATCAACCTCTGCCATTGACCAAAACCAAGCAACAGTGAGAGCAGGGACCCCAGTGAATGCAGTCCTTAAAGGTCAGTCCTAGAGCAGAAGGGAGAAGGGGGACAGTGGATCTAGACTGCTTAGTACAGTGAATTTGAATAAGTTGTTTTTCTAGATATTTGCTCATATGATCAGATTTTTGAAATATGTTGGCATAAAGATGTTCATTATAGTCTCTTAATATCTGTACCATCTCTACTTATGTTTCTCTTTCACTCAATATTCTGTCTCTTTTTTCCTTGATCAGTCTCATTAGAGGCTTATCAATTGTACTTGTCTTCAAAAAAACAAGTCTTTGTTTTCATACATTCTTTGTAGTTTACTTTTGTTTTCTATTTTATTAATTTATACTCTCTCATTTTTATGATATCCTTTCTTGTTCTTTTTATTTATTTTGCTGTTTTCTTTCCTAACTTTTAAAAATGGATATTTAGCCTAGCTGATGAGGCTCAGTGGTTGAGCATTGACCCATGCACCAAGAGGTCACTGGTTAGATTTTCAGTCAGGGCACATGCCCAGGTTTTGGGTCTGATCCCAGTGTGGGGCATGCAGGAGGTAGTCAATCAATGTTCTCTCTCATCAACTTTTCTCTCTCTCTCTCCCTCTCCCTTCCTTTCTCTCTAAAATCAATAAAGAAAAAAAAATTTAATGAAGAATTAGCTTATTAATTTTTAAATTATTTCTTTCTCTAGTTTAAGCAGTTATACTATATAGTTCCCTCTTAATACTGCTTTAGCTGCATCCCACAGGATTTTGTATAAGATCCTTTTATACCCCAGTTTTTTTAAAAATTCTAATTTCCATTGTAATTTCATCTCTGACCCAAGATTTATTTAAAACTATGTTACTCAATTTCTAAACACATGGAGATTTTCTAGTCATCTTTTGGTTATTCTACCTTGGGGTAGGAATGTGGTCAGCATGATAACAATTTTGAACTGTATTAATACTTGTTTTATAAAAGAGTTTAGTATATGGCAAATTTGTGTATTGTTCTATATTTGCTTGAAAAGAATGTGTATTTGGCATACATAATTCACTTAGATAAATTATGTTTTCAAACCTTCTCTATGCTATTATTTTGTCAGTTTATCCTATTGTTCACTTAGAGAAGTGTGTTTCATTCTCCCACTGTTTCTATAAATATACAGGATGTGTCTATTGCTTCTTGTAGTTTTGCTAATTCTTTCTTTATATGTTTGTAGGCTATGCAGTTAGGTACATACAAATTAATACTTGTTATGTCTTTTGGTGGAATTGAATTTTTTACATTTGAGGTGATTGCTATATTTAGTAATGTTTTTGCCTTAAAGTGGATTTAAAAGACATTGTTACTAATTATATCTGCTTTCTTTAGTTAGTATTTGCTTAGTATACCTTTTCTGTACTTTTATTCCCAACATTTCCATCTTTCTGTTTTCTTGTGTAAATATGTCTCCTGTAAATAGCATTTTGTTGAATTTTTAAGAACAATCAAGCCCTGTCCGGTTTAGTAGAGCAGAGTCGTGGGTTTGATTCTGATCAAGGGCACATACCTTGGTTGTGGTTTGGTCCCGGCCCTCGTTGGGGTTGTGCAGGAGGCAAAACATGTCCTTGGGTGAGGATTTAAAAAAAAAATACCTGGCAAGACTTTTGCTCTGGCAGGTTTGGCTCAGCAGTTAGAGCATCAGCCTGCAGACAAAAGGTCTCAGGTTTGATTCCTGGTCAAGGGCAACTACTTAGGTTGCAGATTTGATCCCTGGCCCTGGTTGGGGTCATGCAGGAGGCAATCAATTGATGTATCTCTTACACATTGATGTTTCTCTCTCCCTCCCTCCCTACTTTCCACTCTCTCTCTCTACAAAAAAAAAAAAAAAGAATAATCAGACAATTTCTCCTTAAACATTTTTTTTTTATCCTCACCCGAGGACATTTTTTGCATTTATCTTCAGATAGAGCCAGAGGGAGAGAGGGGGTGAGAGAGAGAGAGAAACATATATCTGAGAGAGACACATAGACTGGTTGCCACCCACACAATCCCAACCGGGGCCGGGGACAAACTGCAACCAAGGTACATGCCCTAGGTGGAAATTGAACCCGGGAATCTCTGGTCCACGAGCCGACGCTCTAACCGCTGAGCCAAACCGGCCAGGGCTCCTTAAACACTTTTTTTCTTTTTTACTGGATAATTTTAGTCTACTTACATTTACGGTCATTTATGATCTATTTGGATTTATTTTCATCAACTTATTTTGTTCTATTTGTTCTATCATTTACATGTTACTTTCTCCTATCTTGCCTTTCTTAAGATTTAATATTCATTTCATTCTATTTTTTATTCTCTATTAGTTTGGAAATTATGCATTCTATTTTTATTCTCTTAGAAAATTAGCATTCACATTTAACTTATTAACGTCTAATACAGACCTGTCATAGAATTCAGTGTAAATAGTGCTTCCTGTATTGTGCAACATGGTGACTCTGAGGACCTTACGTATTTTAACTCCATTTGCCATCCTCTCAATTTAATCCTATCGCAGCCATGTGTTCCAATTCTCTCTTTTTAAATCCCACTTAGTATAGTATGACATGCCCATCTGGTATGGCTCAGTGACTGAGCGTGGACCCATGCACCAACAGGTTGCCAGTTGGATTCTTGGTCAGGGCACATGCCCAGGTTGTGGGCCAAATCCCCAGTGGGGGGCATGCAGGAGGCAGCCAACTGATGTTCTATCTCATTGATGTTTCTATCTCTCTCTCTCCTCTCTTCCTTTCTCTCTAAAATCAATAAGGGGAAAAAAGTATAGTATTACATTGTTTAATTTAGTCTTTCTTTATTTACATTTAGTCACATACTTGCTCATCATTTCTTCTTGCATTTTAGAACTTCAGTCTGGGGTTACTTTCTTTATGCCTGAGGCATACTCTTTTGAACTCCCTGTAGACTAGTAGAAACAACAATTTATTGTCATGTACTACTTAGTACCTCTGTTTTCCTTTCATCCAAGGACTCTTGAAATTCTTACATTTCTCACTTGAAGTGGCTCCCTGATGCCAGAGGAGAACACATGGTGAAATTTTAAATAGAGTCAGTAATAACAAGGGGAGTTGGTGGGAGATGGGGTGAGATTAGGGCCAGTGGATTTAGAGCCTTTGTCAAATCCGGTTAAGTGCCACTATGGTCATTTTTGACCAAATAAAAAGAGGTGACAGTTAATTTTCAAAATTTGTACATATTTTTTTTATCCTCACCTGAGGACATTTTTCCATCTTTTGTTCAGATAGAGTGGGAGGGAGAGAAAGTAAGAGAGAGAGAGAGATAGACATCGACATGAAAGGGATGCACGACCAACCAGGGCCGGGGACAAACTGCAACCGAGGTACGTGGCCTTAGCGGGAACCGAACCCGGGTCTCTCCGGACCACAGGCCGTCACTCTAACTGCTGAGCCAAACTGGCCAGGGCTGTATATTATTTTAAAAAGCTAGTGTAGCCCTGGCTGGTTTGTAGCCCTGGCCGGTTTGGCTCAGCGGTTAGAGTGTCGGCCTGCGGTCCGGAGAGACCCGGGTTCGGTTCCCGCTAAGGCCACGTACCTCGGTTGCAGTTTGTCCCCGGCCCTGGTTGGTCGTGCGGGTGGCAGCCACTCGATGTGTCCCTTCACGTCAATGTTTCTCTCTCTCTCTCTCTCTCTCTCTTCCTCTCTCTCCCTCCCACTCTATCTGTACAAAAAATGGAAAAATGTCCTCGGGTGAGGATAAAAAAAAACACAAAAAAATTAAAAAGCTAGTGTAGTGGCTTTGTATTGTGTCAGCTTACTAAATTGAGTTACAGTCCCCAGAATTCCTTTTTTTGTATGTTTCAATTGAGAGGAGTTGCCTCGCCCTGGCTGGTTTGGCTCAGCGGTTAGAGCGCCCACCTGCGGTCCGGAGAGACCCGGGTTCGGTTCCCGCTAAGGGCATGTACCTTGGTTGCAGTTTGTCCCCGGCCCTGGTTGGTCGTGCGGGTGGCGGCCACTCGTGTCCCTTTCACATCGATGTTTCTCCCTCTCTCTCTTCCTCTCCCTCCCTCCCACTCTGTCTGTACAAAAAATGGAAAAATGTCCTCGGGTGAGGATAAAAAAAAAAAAAAATAGGAGTTGCCTTGGAGATTCTTTTGTAATATTTCTAGGGCCAAAGTGAAGCAGTAGCCATATTTGTAGCTCACACATGTTGCCGTTTCTTTGCTGCTTTATCTCATTGATGCGAGGTAAGGCAGGACTGCAACTGTCACACCTTCTTTGGGATCCTTCTTTAGCTTCTCTGAGTTGAGGGCCAGGTGTGTGTTTAGCTCTGTGGTGGAGGGCCCTGGCTTCCACAATACATCCACAGCTTTGAGGTCAGAAGCAATGAGCACTGACACCGTTTTAGGCTATCTTTATAGCTTTAGCCTCTCTTGTGGGTTTCCAGTTTATTTTTATCCCCCCATCCCCCACCCCCACACCCCCACCTTTTATATCCATCTTTCCTTCTTCCTGACTGCCTGTGGACTGCAAACTACGGAACCAGCTTCCAAGATCAAGCCACTGTCACAATCCCTTAGTATATTGTCTCCTAGTGGTTCTGTTTCTCTAGTGGAACCCTGGCTGATTCAGTCAGTAATTCCAGTTTCTTATTTTTCCTGTTCTTTCAGGCAAATTTGGAGCCCAGAATGACTGGGACCGTGGGGATAGGAAATCATTCGGTGGTGTCTGAAATTGTGTTGGTGGGACTCATCAGTTCTTTGGAGATGCAAATAGTCCTCTTTCTGGTTTTTTCTGTGTTCTACTTAACAGATGTTTTAGGAAACCTCTTCATTGTGCTCACAGTGGCCTCTAACTCCCATTTACAATCCCCCATGTACTTCCTGCTGGCCAACCTCTCCTTTATTGACACATGGGTTTCCTCCATTTCAGTTCCCAAGATGATTTCTGATCTGTTCAAGGAGAGGAAAGTAATCTCTTTCCAAGGCTGCACTGCTCAGATGTTCTTCATCCATGTTATTGGAGGCACTGAGATGGTTCTGCTCATTACCATGGCCTTTGATTGTTATGTTGCTATATGTCGGCCTCTTTACTACCCGACTATCATGAACTTCAGAACTTGTATTTTACTCTCGGTGGCTGCCTGGACCATTGGAATAATCCACTCATTGATCCAACTTGTATTTGTTATAAACCTACCATTATGTGGCCCCAATGAAGTTGACAGCTTTTACTGTGACCTTCCATGATTTATCAAGCTTGCTTGCACAGACACTTACAGATTGGAACTCATGGTCACCACTAATAGTGGTTTCATCTCCCTGGGAACTTTTCTCATTTTGATTATCTCCTGTATCTTCATTTTGGTCACTGTTTGGCAACATTCTTCAGATGGCTTGTCCAAGGCCCTCTCTCCCCTGTCAGCTCACATCACAGTGGTGGTCTTATTTTTTGGTCCATGTATTTTTGTGTACTCTTGGCTATTGCCCACAGTACCAGTAGATAAATTCCTTGCCATTTTTGATGTAATTATCACCCCATTTCTGAACCCTGTCATCTACACTTTCAGGAACAAAGAGATGAAGATGGCAATGAGGAGAATATTCAATCAGGTGTTAAGTTTCAGAAAGCTGTTTTAAGTTATTTTGATATCAAGAAAGACAAGCATCTCTAACATTTTTTGCCCATGCTACAGACAAGAATACAAAGAAACACAGAACCATGGATGTTTTAGGTGCCAGTTTAATTACTAATGTCCAATATTTTTTTAAATTTATCTTTATTGTTGAAAGTATTATAGATATCCCCCCATTCTTCCCCCACTGACACCCTCCTCAGGCTCCCACCCCCTGCCTTTACACCAATGTTGTCTGTGTCCACTTATTATGCATATATGGATTTCAATTCTTTGGTTTATCTTTTTCCTCTGCCCCATCCCCCCATCCCTCAGAGGTTTGTCACTCTGGTCCCTACTTCCATGTCTCTGGATCTATTTTGTTCATCTGCTTATTTTGTTCATTATATTTCACAAATAAGTGAGATCATGTGATCTTGTCTTTCTCTGACTGGCTTATTTCATTTAGCATAACACTCTCCAGGTCCCTCCATGTCATCCCAAAGGGTAAGAGATCTTTTTTTCTAACAGTTACATGGTATTCCATTGTATAAATGTACCACAGCTTTTTTTTTATTCTCACCCAAGGACATTTTTTTGCATTTATTTTCAGACAGAGTGGGAGGGAGAGAGAAGGGAAGAGAGAAAGAGAGAAACATCGATGTGAGAGAGACACATCAACTGGTTGCCACCCACACGACTCCAACTGGGACCAAGAACAAACTGCAACTGAGGCACATGCCCTTAGTGAGAACCGAACCAGGACTCTAATCATTGAGCCAAATCGGCCAGGGCTACCACAGCCCTGATCCACTCATCTATTGATGGACATTTGGGCTATTTTCAGATCTTTGCAATTGTAGATAGTGCTCTATGAACATAGGGGTACATACATTCTTTCTGATTGATGTTTCAGGCTTCTTAGGATATATTCCTAGAAGTGGGATCACTGAGTCAAATAGCAGTTCAATTTTTAATTGTTTGAGGAAACACCATATTGATCTATATGCCTGTTTGTGTGCTAGTACCAGGCTGTTTTGATTACAATGGTTTGCAGTATAACCTGATATCTGGTATCGTGATCCCTCCTACTTTGTTCTTCTTTTTCAAGATTGCTGTGGCTATTCGGGGTCTTTTTTGGTTCCATATAAACTTTTGGAGTGTTTGTTCTACTTCTGTGAAATATGCCATTGGTCTTTTAATAGGGATTGTATTGAATCTATAGATTGCTTTGGGTAGTATGGACATTTTAATGATGTTATTGTCTTCCTCTATATCTTTTTTCAATTTCTGTAAATAGGTCCTTTACTTCTTTGGTTAAGTTCATTCCTAGGTATCTTAGTTTTTTTGCTGCAATGGTAAATGGGATTGTTTTTTTAGTTTCTCTTTTTGTGTGTCCATTATTGGTGTGTAAAAATGCCAGTGATTTCTGAATGTTGATTTTGTATCCTGCTACTTTGCCTAATTTATTTATTATATCTAGTAGTTTTTTTATGGAGTCTTTAGGGTTTTCTATGTGCAATATTATGTCATCTGCGAATAATGACAGTTTTACTCCTTCCTTTCCAATTTGTATCCCTTTCATTTTTTAATTCATGTCCAATTGCTGTGGCTAAAACTTCCAGTACTATGTTAAATAAGAGTGGTGAAAGTGGGCATCCCTGTCTTGTTCCTGTTCTTAAGGGAAATGCTTATAGTTTTTGCCAATTGAGTATGATGTTGGCTATAGGTTTCTCATAAATGGCCTTTATTATGTTGAGATATGATCCTTCTATTCCCACTTTGCTGAGAGTTTTTATCAAAAATAGATGCTGGATTTTGTCAAATGCATTTTCAGCATCTACTGATGTGATCATATGACTTTTATCTTTCATTTTGTTTATGTGGTATATCACACTTATTGATTTATAAATATTGTACCAGCCTTGCATTCCTGGGATAAATTCCACTTGGTCATGGTGTATAATTTCTTTAATATATTGCTGGATTCGATTGGTGAGAATTTTGGCATCTATGTTCATCAGGGCTATTGGCCTGTGATTTTCTTTCTTTGTTGTGTCTTTATCTGGTTTTGGGATTAAGATTATGCCAGCCTCATAAAAAGAGCTTGGAAGTCTTCCTTCCTCTTGAGCTTTTTGGAATTGTTTGAGGAGAATAAGTGACAGTTCCTTTTTGAATGTTTGGTAAAATTCCCCTGTGTAGCCATCCGAACTAGGACTTCTGTTTGCTGGAATTTTATTGATTACTTCTATTTTCTTAATTGTTAAAGGTCGGTCTATTTAGGTTTTCCATCTCTTCTCAGTTGAGTTTTGAAATAGTATATGAATAAGAATTTTTTTATCTAGCCTGGGTTGTCAAATTTGTTGGCATATAATTGTTCATAGTATTTTCTTACACTTCTTTGTATTTCTGCGGTGTCTATTGTTACTTCACTTCTTTCATTTCTGATTTTATTAATTTGAGCTCTTCTCTTTGTTTCTTGGTGAGTTTGGCTAAAGGTTGATCAATCTTGTTTATCTTTTCAAAGAACCAGCTCTTGGTTTCATTGATCTTTTGTATTTTTTTTTTCAGTCTCTATGTCATTTATTTTTACTATGATTTTTATAATTTCCTTCCTTTTACTAACTCTCGGTTTTTCTTTTTGTTCTCTTTGTAAATCTAAGTTGTTGGGTTAGATAGTTTATTAGAAATTGTTCTTGTTTCTTGAGGTAGGCCTGTATTGCCAAGAACTTTTCTCTCAGGACTTCTTTTGCTGTGTCCCATAGATTTTGTATTGTTGTGTGTTCATTTTCATTAGTTTCCAAGAAGTTTTTGATTTCTCTCTTGAACTCATTAGCAATCCATTCGTTGTTTAATAACATGCTATTTACCTTCCATGTGTTTGAATGTTTTTGAGTGTTTTTATTATAATTGATTTTTAGTTTCATGCCATTGTGATCTGAGAAGATGCTTGATATGATTTAAATCTTCTTGAATTTGTAGAAACTTACTTTGTGTCCTAACATGTGGTCTATCTTCGAGAATTTCCCGTGTGCACTTGAGAAGGATGTATATTCTTCAGCTTTGGGGTGAAATGTACTGTGAATATTAGTTAAGTCCAACTGATCTAGTTCATCATTTAAGGACTCTGTTTCCTTGTTAAATTTTTTTTTTCTGGAAGATATATTCAGTGGTGTCAGTGGGTTGTTAAAGTCACCATTATGATTGTATTGCCATTGCTCTCTCCCTTGAAGTTCTCCAGAGTTTTTTAAGATATTTTGGTGCTCCTATACTTGGTGCATACATGTTTACTAGGGTTCTATCTTCTTGTTGGATGGATTATTTTAATGTTATGTTGTGACCTTCTTTGTCTCTTATTATGGCCCTTGTTTTGAAGTCTATCTTATCAGATTATGAATATTGCTACACCCACTTTATTTTTTTCATTTCCATTTGCCTGCAAAAGATGTTTCCATCCCTTCACTTTCATCCTGTGTGAGTCTTTTGTTGTGAGGTGGGTCTCTTGTAGATAACACATATATGGGTCGTGTTTTCTTATCCAATTAGCTACCCTATGTTTTTTGATTGGAGCATTTATGCCATTTACATTTAAGGTTATTATTGATAGATACTCATTAGTTACCATTTGTATTTTATGCCTTGTTTCTCTATACAGTGATACCTCGGTTCTCGAACACCTCGGATTTCGACCAAATCGGTATTCGACCAGGAGATTCGAGAAACTTTTGTCTTGGAATCCGAACAAATATTTGGAACTCGAACTTCCGAGTTGAGCCGAATGGCGTTCATTCGGCCCAGCGCGCCTTGCTTGCGTCATCAGTGTGAGTGCAGAGAGAGAGTCACGCTTTGTGGAGAGAGTCACGCTTTGTGGAGAGAGTCATGCTTTACACTGAATTTAACCCTTAGACATACTGTACACTTTTATTTCTTGTTGAGACTTATGTTTTTCTACATATTATATACAAATTAGGCCAGTAAATAGGCATTTTCTGGGGCTTGGAACGAATTAATCCAGTTTCCATTATTTCCTATTGGGTTTCATTGCTTCGGTTCTCGAACAATTTGGTTCTCGACCGTCCTCCTGGAACGAATTATGTTCGAGAACCGAGGTATCACTGTATATATTTCTTCTTCTTCTTCTTACAACAGTCCCTCTAGCATTTCTTGCTGTTCTGGTTTGGTGGTGGTAAATTCCTTTAGCTTTTTTTTTTTTTTTTTTTTTTTGGTCTGTGAAGTTCTTTATTTCACCTTCAATTTTGAATAATAGCCTTGCTGGATAGAGTAATGTTAGATTCAGACCCTTGCCTTTTATTACTTTGTATACTTCATGCCATTACCTTCTTACTTGCAGTGTTTCTATTGAGAAATCAGCTGACAGTCTAATGGGAGCTCCCTTGTAGTTAACTTTCTGTCTCTCTCTTGCTGCCTTTAAGATTCTTTGTTTTTGTCTTTAATGTTTGCTATTTTAATTATGATGTGTCTAGCTGTGAGTCTTTTTGTATTCATTTTGCTTGGGATTCTATGTATTTCCTGGAATTGTGTAATTTTTTTCTTTCACCAGCTTAGGAAAGTTTTCTGTCATTATTTCTTTAAACAGGTTTTCTATTCCTTTCTCCAATTCTTCTCCTTCTGATACCCCTATGATGTGAATGTTGTTACATTTTGTATTGTCCCAACGCTCCCTCAAACTCTCCTCCTGCTTTATTTAGGTGTTTTTTTCCTACCTTGTCTTCTAACTCACTGATTCTGTCTTCAGCCTCCTCTAATCTACTATTGAATCCTTCTAAGGTATTTTTTTTATATCAGCTTTGTCATTCTTCATTTCCATTTGATTTTTATGTATAGCTTCTAGCTCTTTTTTTATGCTGATGTAGTTCCCACTGAGCTCTTTATAATTCTCATTAAGTTGCTTGTAGTTCTCACTAAATTGTTTGCACACCCTTAAAATCATTGCTTTGAATTATTTATCTGACAATTTGCTTGCTTCCGTTTTATGTAGTTTCTTTTCTGGTGATTCCTCTTTTT